TTTGATGCTTGATTCCAGAATAGGCACTAGGAAAATTTTGAAGATAGAGGCCAAAATCTTGTTGCTTGTGGAATCACATAAGAACAATCACATCAGTGATGTGAGCAGCTTTTCAGTCTACAGTATCTGTCACATGTCTGGCTATCACTTGGGTGACAACCACTTCCCCAAATGTCCTTCCATGCACAGAAAACATTGATAGGATTTTGGCCAAGATATTTAAAAGCAACAGTTTTTCCTGGAAACATAGATATTAAATATCTTTTAGTACAGACTGCTTTTGGAGTAGGTTCCATGCTTAGCTTCGGGAAATGGATTCTATATATGTATCAATAACTCAGTGTGATGACTGCAGTGTGTTATTAATGCAGATGTCCTGTACTGTGTGGTAGGAAAAGCATTACTGCCAGAATGTGATCTGAATTTGGAGAAGGTCTAGATGCAAGAGTAGTCCATAGCCTGAAAAGGGCAGGACAACCAGTTATTAAAAGGAAAATGAGAGAGTCTGAGGACAAACCATAGCCACCAAATAATCCCAAGAGGTCAGTGTTATGCTCTTCTCACTTATCCAAGTATGATGTCCGGAGATGTAGTGAGTGTTAGTCCATGAGTGAGAGACCACCTCAGGTGTTGAGGTGCCAGGAGCAGCATGTTGCACCTCTCCCATCTCTCCATGCCTCAATTTGCTTCTGCCATTACTCTCTTCCTTGTTGCCACACCACACCACATTTGCTAATTGCCCAATTGCCTGCCCACTCCTTTGGAATATACTTCCTGTCCTGTAAAGTGCCTGGCATATTTTCAGGCAGAGCTATCAGTTCATATAGAGGTAGTAATAGTAGTAGTAACTTTATTACGGTCAAAGACCAGTAAGAACAGAACAATATAAAATAAATACATACAATTGTAGTTTTGTAAAATTAAGCAGAATTACAAATTTTCCATTAAAAGCCATATAGGGGTCACTAAACATAGCCCACAGCTCTTTATGAGGTAAGTAGGTAAACAGGAGGAGTGAAATATGGTGGCAGTAGTGGGGATGAGGGTGGTAGCCACAAGAATGATGGTGTGGCAGCAGCACTTTTCTTTCCATCTTGGGCCATCACCATTTGCAGTATAAAGAATATATGTGCTATTCTTTTGAATGAAGGACTCCTAGAGGTATCGGGCTTTTTCTAAAATCAGACCTGGCACCTTCCAGACTACAGCTTTGACTACAATCCCCATCATTCTCACCTGCAAAGCAATTATCTTTGCTAGCTAGGGATGGTTCATGTCTGAGCGTTTGTCCAATGTGTCCAGAAGGCCTGAGGCTGAAGAAGTCTATTTCAAACAGTTTTAAGGCCACAGTCCAGTATATACTTTTGCATTTCACTAGCGCCAGAAACCCATAGCCAGTAGTGCCAGTGGAGATACTATGAGTAGCAGAAAGAAGAGAAATGAACTCTTCTAGCTTGTGTTGGGTGAGGATAAACAGCCACAAGTTTGTCTTGGCTTAATGGAAAACATGAACTAAGAAAACATGAAGAGACAAGTGGAACAAATGAGTTATTGCAAATGGAGAACTGAATACCAGCTCAGACACTGGAACTAGCATTAGTGGAAATCATTCACTTATTTATTTCCTCCTGGGTGTTTTGTTTCCCTCACTTTATGTTGTTGGCCACAGCTGGGAAAAATGTAAATGCAAAATGTGTTATCATACCCTATGTTTCAGGAAAGAAATATTGTGGGGATAACAAAAGTACCGTACACAGGACTGTTTTGGATCTGCGTGGGAAATTTCACATTATTTTGTTGTTGTTGTTTAGTTGTTAAGTCGTGTCCGACTCTTCATGACCCCCATGAACCAGAGCATGCCAGGCCCTCCTGTCTTCCACTGCCTCCCGGAGTTGGGTCAAATTCATGTTGGTCGCTTTGATGACACTGTCCAACCCTTCTCGTCCTCTGTCGTCCCCTTCTCCTCTTGCCTTCACACTTTCCTGACATCAGGGTCTTTTCCAGGGAGTCTTCTCTTCTCATGAGATGGCGAAAGTATTGGAGCCTCAGCTTCAGGATCTGTCCTTCCAGTGAGCACTCAGGGCTGATTTCCTTCAGAATGGATAGGATTGTTCTCCTTGCAGTCCAGGGGACTCTCAAGAGTCTCCTCCAGCACCACAATTCAAAAGCATCAGTTTCACATTATATAACATTCTATGTATGCATTTTTAAACTTACCCTTTATGGATGTAAAAGTAAAGCAAGAATTTTGTTACTAAATAACACAAAATATTTCAGCAACTTAGAACTTTCAACAACCTTGATAACACAACTCTCTGGAAATACCAACATAATAATGAACATTCAGAGAGCAGGGAAAGTGCAATGACTGGTGTTTTCAATTACCTAGACATTTTTTGGTGAAAGAAAGCAGCATGAGGTTGATAAAGGAGTTTCAGAGCAAATAAAAAGAATCCTTTATAAATTAATAGCATGTAGGATTTATTTATTAATTTATTTATTTATTTATTTATTTATTTATTTATTTATTTATTTATTTATTTATTTATTT